CCAGTACAGCCTCCAAAGCAATACAGAGAACCCCTGTCTCAAAAAAAAAAAAAAAAAAAAAAAAAAAAAAAAAAAAAGAAATGAAAACTGGCTCTGGAAGTTATGGCCTGAAGCTTGATGATGAAAATACTTAGGGAGCTCCTACAGAAGTTGCCAAATATTGAACTTTTATCCCTTTTATATTAGTCCCAATTATACCAATTTCTTCAGTCAAGACCTGCAATTAATTCATAGTATAATCCTGGGAAATATAACACACTTTGTAACTCAATGAACTGGAGCTAAGGAGTTACATACAATGACTGTGTTGTGTTGTAATTAACCAAAGGAAACTGCAGCCCAAACCCAGCATCAGAACATAATTTATCATCCCTCCGCATCAGCTCGAATAACAGAACTTAATGGAAGTTGACAGGGTTGTTTGCGTTCTCTCTCATCAGAGCATAACAGAAAGTTTACTGGTGAGTGTTCTGATCTCTTACCGCACCTTCTATTCATATCCACTGCCTCATTGAAGACACACCTCATTTTCCCCAGTGGTTTTTGTTTTTTTCAGCTCACATAGTCTTAATTTAAGCATTTTAAGAAGCAATCCGGGAATGGGGGTGCATGCCTGTAACTCTAGGGCTTGAGAATCTGAGACACATGGATTGCTACATTTACAAGGCCATTCAGGGTAACAAAATGAATTTGCCTGAGATATATAATGAGATCTTGAATAAATAAATGAGTAAATAAATAATCTTGGTAAAATATGTTTTATTGTTTATAATATATAGTTATATTTTGTGTTGTAATTGTTATATGTTCTTTGGGTTATATTATAGCGTTTCTTTGGGATGTACAGTTTGCCCTTGGGATTTCCTTGTAGGCTATCATTTCTTAACTTACAGAAAATGTACATGTTCATGGAGAAGGAATGATTTACTAAAACACCATTTGTGTGTATGATTTTTAAGCGGAAGTGAGCTTTCAGTTCATTTATTTAGTTACTGATTTTGCTGACTGCAACGTGAGTCGGGACTGTGGTCTAAGCAAATTTTCAGGCAAAGTTTTCAGGTTTTCAATCCCCTGGAGAAAGTCCTGGGGCAAGCAAACCAAGGCTGCAGGGTAAGTGTGAGGCTTTCTTACCAGTGGTTAAGGCCAGATAACTTCCTTCATCTGTTTGCCTAAATTCCTGAAAGGTCTGTATGCATGCACCTGGAGTGTAAAAATGTTTTGTATGCTTCATTCAATTTGTTATTCAAATTAACATTTTTTCATGTTAACTAGTGTCCTCCTAAAATAAAATTCATGCAGCATAGAAAGAAAGTGATGCAGATGGCTTTTAGTAGAGGTGCTGAGGTGGACATGACCACTGTAATCGAATAGTCGCGGAGTTCAGGAGACAGAGAAACCAGAAGCCCCAGTTAGTTAGTCGAAAACTATCTGACAGTCATATAGAGCCAGAATTAAGCATTGCAATTTCTTCAGCCTTTGCCCTGTTTTTTTCCAGTTGCTTCATCTCTGTGAAGCAATAACCTGAACAAGTACTTACTATGAAGACAGCCCAGCAAAGTACAGCTAGATGTCACAGTGCTGGCAATGATGTCACAGAAGTCTCGTGCTTTAGAGAGGCGTTAGCTTATTAATCTTCACAAAGTTTTGCCGAGAAAGATTTATTCTTTGCCCTGTTTTGTAAGTTAGAAAGAGGACATGGCTTTCCTAAGTTCACAGTGGTAGTACATTCTCCAGGGGCTCGTAACAGATTTGTCTGACTGCAGACCCCAGTCTCCTCTTTGGGGTCCTTTAAAGTCAGATGATGGCTTGCTGACCCCAGCCTGTGGGGAGACTACTACAATCCAACTCTACCTCAGATCGTTCTTCTGTCTAGAACGGTGAACCTAGAACTATGTTGCTTGAATGAAGTACAGAAAAAGGAGCATACTTAATGTTTTAAATTTGTAAATCTTTCCAAACAGCAAAGGAAATGTTTCTAGTCACAGAAACACAAGCAACCCTTACGTTTCACCAGATAAGTGAACATTGAAGGATCACCGAGTAAGAACATTTAGAAATTGTTCAGGTTGTGATTTAGAGGGAACCGTAAGTCATTCTTGTCATTCTTTCCTCTTTATTTTTCTCTCATACAACACATCCCCTTCTCACCTCCTCTCAATCACTCCACCCTGCCCCTGAAGCTCCCCCAGATTCAACCCTCTTCATTTCTCTTCAGAAAAGAAAAGACCTTCCAGGGACATCACAAGATGCAGTAAGACTCAGCATAAACCCTCATATCAAGGCTGGACGAGGCAAGCCAATAGGAAAAAAAAAAAAAAAAAAGAGTCCCAGGAGAAGGCAAGAGAGTCAGACCTGAGTCACTTTATATAATACATACAAATTATAGATACAAGAAATTAAGTGGCACTTTGCCAACATGACCTTTCTTATTTTCTTATGTATTTATATGCCATCACTCACTCACATAATGAAGTATATAAGTATCACCAGATATCCTGATATTTTCTAAAAATTTATCTCCTGTGTTTTAAAACTTCTGAAATGTTTCTACTTATTAGTACACTGAAAATTTAGCAATATCACTTACATGTTTAGCCATATAGAAGTATAAGTGAATTAGTATTCAGAGATATCCATATATATATATGTGTGTATATATTTATACACACATATATATATACTTGTAAATATAGTAAAATAATAAGAAATATTAATTATCATTTAAAGGGGGTACTGAGCTTTTATACAATATATTATCAAGTATATTGACATAAGTATACATGAAGTGGCTTCTGTTAAATTTTTGTTACATAAAATGCAAAATTTATAGAATGCAGCTTTAATTTTGAACATCATGCAATATGTGTTGTGTGTATATGTATGTCTATATGTAGGTGTCTGTGTATGAGTGTGTCTGCCTCTGTGTCTGGGTATCTGCCTGTCTGTCTGAATCCTTCTCTCCCTCACCCCTTATGTGTTTGTGTGTGTGTAAAATGTGCTATAATATGATAAATTGTAGTTTAGGCATATTCATTGTAGAAAATTTTGTAGCAAGGAGCTCCGAAGTATGAAGGGTTGAAGCTTGCAGGAAACCTTCCCAGTTTTGTTCTGTCTCATACACTTCTGATTTGCTAATTATAATGCATGTATTTGTTTTCTCAGAAATAGCTAGACCTTAGTTTATAACTCTGTAATGCTAGCTACTCCATAAATTGAAGCAGGAAGATAGCAATGTCAGTGCCTTCATAATCTACTGTGTAAACTCAAGGCCAATCCAGTCAAGTTAGGGAGACCTTATCTCTAAATAGAAAATGGGTTAAAGGTTTAGCACAGTGGTAAAGTATGTGTCTTGCCTATGAAAGGTACCAGGTATGAGTTCTGATACTATATAAGACAATCCATTTAATTTACTTAAATTTTTATTTCATGATATATGTGCTTACCATATACATACCTAGTTCCTGAAGAGGCCAGAAGAGGGCATCACATCCCTCAGAAATTGAGTTAATTAAAGACAGTTATGAACTGTCATGTGGGTGCTGAGAACCTAACCTAGGTCCTCTGCAAGAGCAGTAAGTGCTTTTAACTCTGGGGTTGCCTCCTAAGCACCTAAGGTTTTTAAATAGTAGTGTTATACTTTGTTGCCATTTAGTGCTCATAACTCTGAGATAAAAATCCCTCTTTTAACCCAGGTTCTATTCATTTTAGGCATCCTCTATTCAGCCAGTTTCTCCTTAGACTTGGCATTTCTTAAGCTTCTTCATTGCCTGGGTCACGCCGTCTGTGGGGAAGGTCCTATCGTAGATTTCTCATATACAGGTTCCATCATCTCAGCTCTGATCCCATTGTTCCTTATAAGGCTTTGTATGCTTAAAAATTATCTTTCAATAGTGCATAACGGTGTGTGTGTGTGTGTGTGTGTGTGTGTGTGTGTGTGTGTGTGAATATGCATTGATGTGTAGTGCTTTAGGAGTCCAGAAGAGGTCATCTGAGCCCCTGAATCTTAGAGCAAGCAGCCTCAAGTGGGAACTGTCTGCTAAGACAGCACATGCCCTTGGCCTCTGAGCCATGATTCCAGCCACCTTTGTCAGTCTCTTATTTGTTTTCCCTTCTCTAGTCTCCTTTCAGTTTGTTAATGTAATGTCCTGTCTTAATCTACCTTATACCAAAGTTACCTATGAACCTTTCCTGCAATCGAAGCATCTTCAAGCCTAATGGAGTAACAGATTAAAAACAAACAAACAAATAAACAAATGTAACTGTGTGTGTGTGTGTGTGTGTGTGTGTGTGTGAGAGAGTAGGTGTGCCATTCTTGAAATTTCAGCTTTTCTTTATTTCACATTGCCAGCCCTGTTGCTTGCAATACACTTCTCTATTCTGTATCATAATTTCTGCATTATAACTCCATTTGCTGCCTCTGTGTTCTAATACAAACACATTTCAAGAGGCTGAAATGAAAGATGACAGTCCAAACAAAATATCTTAGACAGGAAGGCATTCGCAATTACTTCATAAAAGGATGCCAAAATATTGTCACATATAGTATCTCAGATGGCAAATTCAATAACGTCTCTTTGGAAAAACAGATTTTTACAAAGTTCCTCTCTAAACCAGTCCAGGTGGCTTCCCTTTTCATAGACAGGATTCTTTTCAAACTAAAGGGAGGAGGGGGAAGAGCAAAGAGGAAACCCAAACTGGTTCTCAGTAGCAATCGCCTCCGGAGGGAGTGATCTGGGAAGGGAGTTCTGCTTGGTCACAAGTGACTAGTCCATGATTTTGAAAGGAGTGATTCATCCTCCTTTGAAACGAGAGATAAGTAGGGGAAAGAGCCGTTTAAAAATGACTTTACAACTGTTTCCTTTGGAGCTGTGACTTCTTTAGCTGGAATGTGATCCCGAACAGTTTCTTTCCCTTTGAGTCTCGCGTTTGCCTTGAGCGGTTTTCTTGTCTCCCTTCTCCCACACACCCCACCTCACTTCTTCCCTCCCTGTCTTCAACAGATTTACACGGACTGGGCCAACCACTACCTGGCAAAATCTGGCCACAAGCGGCTGATTAAGGATTTGCAGCAGGACATTGCGGACGGGGTCCTTCTGGCTGAGATCATCCAGACCATCGGTGAGACCTGCCCTCTGACAACCGGGAGAGGCTCTGCTCGCTGCTCTTTGGCTACACACAGTTTAGGTCTGATGCATACAGAATCGTGCCATGTGTCCTGGAGATGAGTGTTCCTATCTCCTATTTAATTAAACATGTTTGTGTAAGACTGAAAAAGGCGTTCTGGCCAAGCTTTGAAATAGCTCAAACTGTGTCTTTATATGTATAGCATCGTCAGAAATGAAAAGCCTGATTAAGCCATATGCCTCCCATGTGTGCCTTTCATTAACCGGAGGGACTTGTACACTGAGATTCCTTGAAACTGAATCCTGATCCAGCCGGGACAGTTGTGAAAGGGTTCATGTCAGCAATCATTCGGCACATGCTGGAAAACCAGCAGCAACTTCCTCCTCACTCACTTTTTTTTTTCTTTCTTTCTTTTTTTCTTTGCTTGACTTGTGCCCATAGAATTGCTGGCTGATGACAAGTGTGCTCCCCTGTCCATGGCACTTGGGAGACTGAATAGGGGAAGCGGTGGCATTTCTGCTTGGTGTTTTTAATTTCTTTATTTTAAAGGTTGCCTTTGTGTGTGTGTGTGTGTGTGTGTGTGTGTGTGTGTTTCACTTCATTGCTTAAGCATGTTGTTCTTTTTTTCTCTCTTTTATTTTATTTCTTGGTTTTAGCAAATGAGAAAGTGGAAGATATCAATGGATGTCCTAGAAGTCAGTCTCAGATGGTAAGAATCAGTTTTCTTCTCAATCTCAGCACCGTTTCCAAAGATAACTGCATATGCACAACTGCTTAGAAATTTTTCCGCATGCCTTCCTGCTCGTGTAAGGAACCACTGGGGGCCATTCTGTGTGTTCAGGGTCAGTGTGGCAGCATCATGCAGTGAGAGATTTGGACTCCCGTGTAACATGTTCCTGGGTGTTTATTCTGACATTCAACTTTTCTTTCTCCGCCTTTTGTTGGTTCTGATGCCTTACAGTTTGCATTTCTTTACACTGTACTTTCAGTAAACTTTATTTCCAGTTTAAAGTCTTATATTTTCCATGAGCAACTGTTGGGGAGAAATAGAACTAGCCATGTGCCTATTTAAAATACAGCTATTTTACATGTTCATCAGGAAGTTCGGTGTTAGCACATGTGTTCTTGTCATTGTTGGAAATAACTCTGAAGGCTTGCTGTAGCCTTTATTCAGAATAATGGGATTCTGAGATAAGATTCACAGTAGCTTCCAGAAAGTCCTCAGTCTGGAAGCCCCTTACTCCAGCCATTCCCCAACCACCAAACCTTAACATTTATAAATAAAACCATAGACTGCTGAGATAAAACAAACAAACAAACCCTAATCACAAAGCCACAACTTAATTTTCTGGGATGAACTTAATACAGCCTGCCTCTAGTAAAGACATTCCAGGCAGCTACCAACCTGAATAACAGCCCAAGTCTCCCAGTAGGATTGCTTCAGACAACCTTCCTCTTAGCACAGCATAGGCATTTTGAGTGTTTCAAGAATCTCTGTCATAGATTTTGGTCAAATGAAAAACTCATGGAATTCTTAAACCTGCTGACCTGCTTCACTTCATGACAAAAGACTGAAATCCGATGCAATAAAACTTTTTTTTTTTTGGAGTGATTAATTAGACTGCTTAAAACATGGACACTCCAAAAATAAAAAGCAAGGGAAAAAAAACTATTAAAATGTCATGATCTACAGCTGTTGTGATAAAATAAAATCACCATAAAACATAAAAGATAAGGTCTCCATAAAAGATTGCTGCTTTGTGGGCATTTCCCCGTCTTATTGCTCTCAACATAAATGGTCTTCTGTGGAAATTAATTATGTTTGCTTTGTAAAGTTCTACTGCTGGCTCTGCTAAGATAGAGTAAATGCTATGCCAGAAGCTGTGTGATGGTGGAAAAGCATGTTAAGCTCTCTGAACTTTCTCCGTTGCAAAATAAGCCTTAGTTGGATGTTTTTGTTATTTACATGTGTTATATTAAAAAGAGTGTCTACATGCTAATTAATATAATATGCAAATATAAAGTAGTTTTATGGTAAATTTTGTAACTAACATATGAATGGATTAACACCTGCTAAAATATTATGAGGGCTTTCACTTGACAGGTTTTTTAGTCCCTAAGATGCATATATGTGTCTTCTTAACCCTAAGACTTGATTTGGTTTTCGTTATTTTGACCAGGATGGGTGGTAGATGCTACAAAGATTTTAGGTCTAGAGCAGTGGTTCTAAACCTTCCTAACACCGTGACTCTTTAATACAATTCCTCACAGTGTGGTGACCCCCAACCATGAAATTATTTTCATTGCTACTTCATGACAATGATTTTGCTGCTGTTATACATATTAATGTAAATATCTGCGTTTTCCAATGGTCTTAGGTGACCCCTGTGAGAAGGTCGGGACCTGAAGGTTGAGAACCAGTGGGCTAGATCTTTCTGTCTTCTCCACTGTCCTTATTTTATGCTGCTTTGTAATGGTCTGATACCCAGACAAGCTGGTTCTTGATGACAGGGGGAAAAAAAAATCTCTAAAGCTCAAAAAGAGAGAGCAATCCTCTGATGTTTATCTGCACCTAACATTTTTATAACTCTGCAGAAGGGTCTCGGCATATACTCTGATACTGTTTTTATGGCTTCTGTTGTTGTTAGCTCTGCCTTGCACCTTCTGGTATGTACTCATGCTATCTTAGTACCCTTGCTTCTGATGACAGAAAGAAACCCAAAGACTGGAAAAGGATGGTGCTCTGAAAATGGATGGCTTCCTTCCTCTAAAAAGTGTTAGTTGGAGTCATAGTTCCTGTTGAATGAAGAGAGCTTGGCTCATTCCTTCCTGATTGGTTGAACTTCAAATCTGAAGTTGGCCTAGGCTCCCAATATTAATTCACAAGAAAAGCTGTGAAACAAATGTAAATTCTGACTGGACTATTTTTTGTCACTGCTCTTCAGAGGTTTTTATTGGCACTGTGTAATTAATGAGTACAAAACTCAGACTAGAGCCGAGACCAGAAAGGAAAAGATAGATAATTATGGCACCATAGCTAGCAGTGTGCTCCAATCAGGATATTGCTGACTGTAATTGCACAACCCAGGGCTCTACCTCAGTCTTAGAGTACCATCCTTACTCACAGAAGGACGGACTTCCACCACATCTTACATATCCTGTCTTCTGTGACCCTGGCTGGAAGTTTGTGTTTAGTGATGACAACAACAACAACAACAACAAATTGGAACAAAAACGTTTTAGTACTAGACTGTCTGGACTTACATTTCATACTCTATGGCCATTGTAGAATCATTTTAAAATCAATACTAGAATTCTCACAGACATGAAACTGCAGTGTATTGATCCATTTCCATAACAACCAGGTAATCCACATTTAGCCATTATTTGCCAGGAGCCTTAAAGTATCAGGTAGAGGGGTGTTTGATTGGGGTCCATATGAAGATCAGAGTTGCAGTACCTAATAGCAACAGAATTCCATGGGGGGAAATAATAAAAAGGACCCAGGAGGCAAGGATCTTGATGAGTTCTAGAATGAACTCTGGAGTTTGAGCATAGCTACGAATGTCTGAAGGGGAAGGCAGAACCTATTCACATAAGGTCCAAGTAAAGAAAGCCTTTACTTTGCTGTTTTGAACTGGTGGAGGATAACTTGGGTGACTTGTTGCTTGGCTATTTCAGTATCTGATACAAGTGTTTAAAGTCACCTGCAGGTGCCACCTGAAGGTAACAGAATGTGTGTTAGACTGCAGTTGGATGTGGAAGATGCCAAAGAAAGGGAATTTTGAAATGCTTCGATTAGGTTTTATTTTTGTTTTGCCAAATGAGTAAGGTGAGGGCTTCCGTGGAAGAAACTATGCCAGCAGGTGGAGGGAAAATTAAACATCTGTATTCTGACATGTAGCTTTTGATGCCCATTGGGACATAAATCAAGGAATAACTAGGTTGTTATCTTGAGCTTCTGTCGGAAGAAGCTAGTGGCCAGACTATGTCTCATACACCGGTAATGGATAGCCAGGAGAAATTCTTGCAGGGGGGCTGTGTAAATTCATCAGGGAAAAAGAGTTATGATGGCGGGGACATTAATATTTATGACGTATTTAAAAAATAGAAATTATGTAGCATGATAAATAAAAGACCCAGAGACAGATTTGGGGATTGAAGCTTCAGGATGAAGATCAGAGATCTTACCTCTACCAAGCTGAAATGGCAGTCCTGTCTCCATGATCCCCAGAGGCAAAAAGCTCTGATTTCCTGTCTCCTCCTGCTTTTTATTTCTTTCTCTGCCCAGCCATATCACTCCTGTCTCCACCTCCCTAGTGCTGGGATTAAAGGTGATGAGGTCACCTTTGTGTGAGCTATAGTCAGTGTGGCCTTGAACTAACAAAGTTCATCTATCTCTGACTCCTAAAACCTGGGATTAAAGGTGTGTATCACCGTTGCCTGACCTCTATAGCTTGTGACAGGCTTTGCCTTCTGAAATCATAAATAATATGTGACCACAAATGTAGCAGTACAGAAAAAAGAGGATCCATGGCAACAGGATATAAGTGATGTTATGAATTCCTGAAAGAAGCAGTTCAGGAAGAAATTTTGCACTCTTTATAGAAGGTTGGCTGTTAGGGAAGGATGTTAAAAATTTCTTTTACTCTGTATCACATTATATAAGTCATAGAGGATAAAAGTGTATGAAATGTGGGTATTTGACATGCATTAAACTAAAATTTAAGAAATTCAAATAATTTTAGTAATGAACAGAATTTCAGAAAATACTAGTGTATTTTTTGTTATTCTCTGTTGCCTTTCTTATAATAAAAAAGTCAACATAAATATTGTATATTATACTTTATGAGCTATAAAATACCTTATAAAATGAAGCAAATTTATGTATGTATACTTGGGTATAAAAGAATATAACATTAGTACTTCATATAGCATGGTTCCAAGGGCTCTTATTTAAGAAAATTGTGAACTTAATCCATTTGAAATATCTAGTTATACCACTCTGGGTTTCAAAGAAATAGCTATTTTATCAGTGAATTTCAGATTATAATCATCTTAAATCATAGAGATAGTTTTGTGTCATCTGAACAAACACTACATTTAACATCATTTAAAGATGAAGTTACTAATATGGGTGACATCTGTTGAGTAATTTCTAGGTAGGTATTACTCAAGATCTAAAATATATGCTGCATGACATAACTTTACTGAGCTTACATGAAGAAAGAAATTAGTAAACTATAAATACCAGGAATGTCTTGAATGCTTAATAGATTAAAAATAGCAAAAGAAAAAAAATGCCCAACATTCATTTGAAAGGCAGAGGCACAAGTGTGAGATTCCCAAACAAGAATGTTAGACATGTAGGAAAATTGTTTTGAAAACAAGTTTTTCTCCATCTTAAGATAGCCTGTTATATCTCAGGATCCTCAGAAGTGTCCAGATGGTTTAGGAATTTGATGGTTTGAAATCCTTACAGGCAAGAATTAGTTGCTCTGACATAGCAGAGGATTAGAAATATGTGCCTCAAAGTTGCCTATGTTCTTTATGCTCCAGCCCTCTACTGTAGAACTCTGCAGTCCTCAACTGTTGTTTAACTACAACCTTTAGTTGAATTTTAAAATCATATCCTGTATGTCATGTGTACAATTTGTTGATGGTAAAGGATGTTTTGGAATGTCTGCTCCTCTTAATTTCTTTTAAAAT